TCTTAGCTGTGGAGGGCAGTGTCACTGGCCCTCACATGTGGGATCCGAACCGGGGCCCTCTGGCATCCCAAGCCAGTTCCCAACCATCGCGCCACTCGGCCGGCCCCATGCCTAGTGTTTTTAAATTGGATATTTGGCATTTTAAATGATGAATTTTAGAGACTGAATTCTGTTTTGCTTCTCTGAAGAATAATTTTTATTCTAGAAGGCAGTTAACTTGGTTGAAGTCAAACTCTAGACTCTTATCTCCTCTGTACTGGTTGCAGCTAAAATCTTTACTCAGTTACTTTAGTTTCTAGCTGCTGATTTTCAGTCAAAATCCCTGGGGTCTCCTCCCTATTTCATGATCAGCACAGGTTTTAGGGGGACTTTGTATACAGATTTTTGGGATCACCTCCTTTTTGGCTGCCTACCTTCCAGGATATTTTTCCTAAATTTCTGGTAGTTCTCCACCCTTGAATTCTGTCATCTGCTATCTCAAGCCAGTAACACTTCGCTTTCTGCTCAACCTGTCCCCAGTGGCAAGCATATTTAGCAGTGCCCTCAGTCCAAAAACCACAAATGTGCAAATCTCACCTTTTGCAGATTTATCCACCCAGCCACTTCCTCCCCCTTGCCAGGGATCGTGTGCTCTCTGCAAGTAGGATAGCTTCCAGAGAGTAAAAGGAAGACTGAGTTTATTGCTCTCAAATCCAGTTGTTGCTGAAATAAAGGGGGTTCATTTTGCCTGCGCACATCAAAGCCAAATGAGATATGAGCAGGGGTATGCCGCAAAGAAAGTAAAGGTTTATTTAAGGAAATGGCGCCAAGCCCAGAGACACAGTTGAGCTAGCGCTCAAAGACCTGGCTCCTCCATGAGGAAAAGATCATTAGCCATGGTAGCTAAGGGAATTGGGATTACCTCTACGGATTGGTTAGGGCTAAGGTAAAGGGCAGTTAATCATTGGATCAGATCCTCATGTCAGTCATGGCGTCATTCTGTCTGACTTTGAGGAGATATGGTTGGTGGGATCTTCTGCCTTCATGGGTCTGGAGATCAAGATGGTATCTTTAGTTTAACTGAAACTGTTTCTGTGGTCAACAGGACTGAGGCTTTGTTCCTAAGACTGTTTGATGCTGACCAGAATCTGATGTCCTAAGGGCTTAATTATCGAGTGGTGTACAGTATGTGCAAAGGTGGAAGGATAAGGAAAGAAAAGCAAGTGAGTCATGGTGCTGTTAGACTAGACAAAGCCAGTTTGAATCAAGGAGAACAAAAAGAGAAGTCATTTTAAAGACGGTGAAGTTTTGCATGATTACACAATCAGATAAATTACTTTCTCCCCCACGAAGGAGATAGTGAGGGAGTGGAGAGAGGTCAGGAAGAGAGTACTGTTTGAGATACATCAGCTGGAAGTCGAGGTAGAAAGAGATGTTCATTTTCGATACTCCATAGAATTTTGTTCTCTTAACTGATTGGGCCTAAGCCTGCAGTCACCTTAGTAGAAGAGAGCAGCAGTTTGTCTTACAATTGGACTGACCCTCATGCTAATAACAATCTGGGAGGAGGGGGAACTAATAAAAAACTGAAGAACAGGGGCCGGCTGAGTGGCTCAGTTGGTTAAGTGCACGAGCTCTGAGCAACAGGGTCGCTGGTTCGATTCCCACATAGGCCAGTGAGCTGCACCCGAACTGAGCTGCCACTGAGCTGCCAACAGGTGGCAGGATGGCTTAGCTGATGAGAGCACATGCTCCTAACAAGGTTGCTGGTTGGACTTCCGCATGGGAATGTGGGCTACGCCCACCCAAAACTAAGATTGAACACGGCACCTTGAACTGAGTGGCTGTGAGCTACCAACCAGCCGTCGGATGGTGACTGGACTTGGAGCTGAGCTAGCTGCGCCCTCCACAACTAAGACTGAAGGATAACAACTTGGCTGTTCCCCTCCCCCAATTTCCCAATAAAATCTTTAAAAAACAAAACAAAAAAACAGTGAAGAACAACTGAAAGCAGAGATAAATTGGAGGGGAAAGATAAAATACAAGTTATTCCTCAAGAGTATGAGTCAGAACAGTGTAATGCTGTTTGTTGTTTTAGGTGGATCCCAAATAGTTTTTCAGTTTTTATCATTTGAAATTCTTTGTATTTAAGAGGAAGTTTACATCTATCATACTAAATAGTATACTTGTTCTTATTGTGTCATCTTAGTTATTACTGTTTATTAAGTTCACTTACTCTTGTTTTTCCCATCCAGCTTTTTGCCTTTGTTTTTCTTGCTCTCTTGTTTTCCTCCCAGTAATTTATAAATTAGAACATCCTATTTTTATTTAATTAGTAATTACTTCAAAATAAAAAGAAAGTGAACCTTCATTTCTTTACCAACATTAAGAATACATTAGTATTATTGATTCCCCTGGAAATGAGAAATGAGTCACAAAGTTAGTACTTCCCTTTGTTCCTACCTCCCACCATTTCTTGGAATAATTTAAGCTTTTAAAATTATTATTGGGCCGGCCAAGTGGTGCGTTGGTTGGGAGTTGGCTTGGGGCACCAGCCCTGAGCAGCGGGGCCCCAGTTCGGGTTCCACATATGGGGGCTGGTGACGCTGTGCACTCTGCGGCTGAGATGGTGAATGGCGGCTCGACCTGGAGCTGGGCTGCTGTACGTCACCGGCGAGGGTGTGGGCTGCGGTGGGACTGACTGGCAGCAGGCATGGGCTGCCATGAGCAGCTGTGGGCAGCCATCCAATGGCCTGAGGGCGAATGCCTCACCAGGGAAGAGCACAATGATAATACCAACATAAGCCAGTGAGGCAACGTCCTCCACATCTAGACTGAAGAACAAAAGGATGGCAACTTGTCTGTTCCCCTTCCACGATTCCCTAATGCTGTTCCCCTCCCCCAACGCCCCAATAAAATCATTAAGAAAAAAAAAAAACTTATTATTTCTGGGCCGGCTGAGTGGCTCAGTTGATTAAGAGCTCGCTTAAGAGTGCGAGCTCTGAGCAATAGCTGTTTGAATCCCTGCCCGAGCTGAGCTGCCGTCGAGCTGCCAACAGGTGGCAGGATGGCTCAGCTAAAAAATAAACAAAAACTATTATTATTTCTTTTTTTTACATCTCCTTCTTAAAGAACACTTTTCACATTTGCATTTTCATATATAGCCATGTTAACCATGTTCAGAATAATCACCTCAACATTAATTTCTAAGCTAATAGGTTATAAATTCTCTTTTATAACAGATCTTCCCTATACGTAAGATCTTTATTTTTGTCTATTGGATACTAAAGTATTTCTTTGAGTGATTTTTAAAGAAGAGTATGTATCTGAACCTTTGCAGATCTGAGAATTTATTAAATGTGTATTCTTCTAACTTTGCAGTTGTAACTATAGGAAGTGTTCTTAAGGAAATGACAGTAGTATGCATAAATGTGTGTACAGGTTCATTTTGCAGTATTACAAAAGCAAATATTAGAACCTAATAAATGTCTACAAATAGAAATTGGTCAGATAAAATAGAATTATGCCCAGCTACTATTGCAAAATCAGAATAGATTTATCACCTTTGTCACCTAACTGAAATTAAGTATCATTAATCTTTTTGCCTGTACTTGTGCAAGTTATAATTATAACATAAATTTAAATCATACAAAACAAACATTAGCATGTTTAGCTGTTACCATTAATATTCTATTTAGCATCTTTTTTATTTTTTTCAATTAGATTAAATATTGGCTAAATTGATATTTATTACTGAAAAGATTTTTTTTAAAGAACTTTAATTTTAGTCTGTCCTTGTAGTCACTCCATGGATTCCTTTGGACAACCCAGACCAGAAGATAGCCAGTCAGTAGTCAGCAGAATGCAAAAGAAATACTGGAAAACTAAACAGGTCTTTATCAAAGCAACAGGAAAAAAGGAGGATGAACATGTGGTGGCATCTGATGCTGAACTTGATGCTAAACTTGAGGTAAATTTGAGGATTCTGTGTATTGCATATAACATTATTATTGGGACTACAAGTGGGACTATGACAAGCTTTCACACTGAAGACTTATTGGGTGGGATAAATGTAAATTTGATAATAGAATGCTGAACTGTATTTATCTGTTAGATCTTCTGGATAGCAGCGGGGTCACAATTCTCACAAATTGAGAAGTGATAGAACAGTGTTCATAAATTAGATAAATCATTAGTTAAGTAATTGGCACAAGTATTCTTATTTTTAAGCTAAATGTTAATTATATTTCTAATTAGGGACATATACTCATTATATAGCATGTTATAATATTTTTACAACTTTTATGTGAAGTCTTATAACTGACTGAAATAAATTAATTGAAATCAAACAGTGAGTGAGGATTTTTTAAGTTATACCTTTTGTTTCGATTATTAAGGGACAGAGTTGCTGAAGTACTCATAATATATACTTTGGCTATGTTTTTCATTTTAAATAAAAGGAATAATTACCATGAAACAACTTTAAACCTACAAGCGTTTTATACAATTAAGCTAATTAGAGGAAAGGTCTCAAGTATATTAATGAAAGTCTGGATTTTTAAATGCACATTAATATTTCCATGTACATATACTAATTTAAGATAACTTTTCCAAATATTTCCAAGCAGGGGCTCTGTTATGATTGGAATGTAATCATTTGTTGGGATTCTTAAAAAATAAAGTTTTGGGCTGGCCGAGTGGCACGTTGGTTAAGAACTGGCTATGAACGCCAGAGGGCCCCGGTTCAGATCCCACATATGAAGACCAGTGACGCTACCCTCTACAGCTAAGATGCTGAACAACAGCTCAACCTGGAGCTGGGCTGCCGTGGGTCACCGGCGACGGCGTAGGCTGTAATCCCCTGCTGCAGTGGTCTGCCAAAAACTACTGGGTGTAGCCGGCAGCCAGTGTGAGCAGCCTACAGCAACTGTGAGCGGCTGTCCAGAAGCCGGCGACTAATGTGCCTCACCCAGGAAGAGCACAATGATGGTGCCAGCTTGGGCCAGTGAAGCAACATCCTCCACGACCGAAGAACAAAAGGACAGCAACTTGTCTGTTCCCCTTCCCCCGATTCCCCAGCACTGTTCCCCTCCCCCAAATTCCCCAATAAAATCTTTAAAAAAAAAAAGTTTTAATTAAATAGGTCTTAATCTACAAAGTATTTTCATTCTTAGTAAGTAAATTTATGTCATTGCCATAACAAATATGGAAATAATAAATTAACAAGCTTTTACTATTTAGGTTTGAAAGTATTCCTCCTAGAATTCAATGGTAAATATTGGAAAAATAAAGGGACTTTAGTAATATATGTCTTAACACTGAGGGAATTCTTCTCTGTTTCCACATATATTCCCACAGAAGTAGATATTTTTCTATTGTTTTACATCATTAGATAATCTATGGGTGACATATTTTATATTCAGTGTTATTCTTTTTCATTAGACAAATATTTGGAATCAACCAAGAACTTTATCCCACATTTATACTACTTTTTAAATAATGAGAAATATTTTTATTTTATGTATACTTATATCAAATCATTATGTTGTATACTTTAAATATATTAAAATTTTATTTGTCAAATTATAAAACTGAAAATATTTTCATTGTATAAATACAAAGCAATAGTATATAAATCTTTCAAGGACCCATGAGAAAAAATCAACCATAACCACTTCATCATAGTATTATTGTTTCTGTGTTCTTTTCTAGTCTTCTTCCATATGGATTTAAAACAGCTTTTAATATTGCCAAATCCATATACCAAATTTAATTCAAACATACCTAAACTAATATGGAACATTGATGGTTGCTCTTCTATTTAGATTTTAGTTTTTATTTTCAATCTCCCTTAGGTCTGATCAAACATCAAACAAAATAACAGCAAAACTGCTTCAGAGGTAGAATAGTCAGGTTTAATGGTGATGTTGGAAATTTATTTGATAATCTAAGGGTTAATTCCTAATATTATATCACAGTGCCAAGGTCTTTTTGAACTAAAGTCTCGTAACAATTCTTCAGGATAGGACTTTGTTAGAAGAAGCCTGCAACCCTAAAACCTATGCCAGCTCTTTTCTGTGGGAAAACCTAAATTTATAGATAAGTGTGAAGAGTTACCTTGTGTATAATGTGTCCTAATCTCAAATTTTCATGAGCTTACTTTGAAATGGGAGTCTACTGGATATTTTATTTTTCTGTTAGCTATTAGCAATAGTAGTAATAAAGGGATTAATATTCCTGGGAAATTCTAAACTAAAATAATCCACAAGTAATTTATTTTTGATGGTATAATATGTTATTTAATTTTTAAGGTAAATTTACTGACCTGTTTTGCTTAGACCAATATTGGAGAAATGCCAGACTCAGGGTCAACATTGTCTAAGGTCATCTATACTCTTTTCATCTGTGGTTGACAATGTTTGATGCAGTTCATATTGGATTTACCTTTTTGGTATTTACATAGTTTGGAGCTGAGGGAAGGACAAATTCCACAGTTATAAATTTTTATTAGTTCCCATGTATTTATCACCATTTTTTCCCCAGCCATCATGGGGAAAATCAGATATAAAACCAAAACCGAAGTACATTACAGTCCAGGAAACTAGACATAATACTTACAAGGAAATGTTCTGCTTTTGAAGTGCTTACAACAGATATTTTTTATATTTGTTTATGGTTCTTTAAATTGTCCTAATAAAATTTTTATTTCAAAGGTTTTTCACTCCATTCAAGAGACATGCTCTGAACTCCTGAAGATAGTTGAGAAATATCAGCTAAGACTCAATGGTATGAAACCATAAGATATATATCCAATAATTCCCATTTAATGTAAATATTCATTTGCATTTTTTAAAATAAAATATTTAATGAAAAAATAGTTTATTGATCTCTTTTGTGAATAGTTTCTTATGACAAAATATGAATATTTACAGTGACCTGTTCTCAAAGCCCCTAGTGTCCTCAGTTCATCAGATCCTCTGACACAGATTCATTTTGCTGAGTTCAGTTGTCCTTCCCAGCGTCTTAAATGGTTTCGCTTCTATCACTTAAAAACTCTATCTCCTGAACCCGACTTGCCCTTGCAATTACCATCCTATTCCTCTGCTCCTTTCACAGGAAATTTTGCCATAATTGTCTGTATATATAGTCTCTATTCCTTTCCTTCCACTTTCTCTTGTACTCACTCCAGTCAAGTTTTCATCACCATCACTCCACCAAATTGCTCTTGTCATAATCATGAAGAGCTGAACCCAGTGACCAATTCTCAGTCAGTCTTTGTCTTACTTGACTTATCACATTTAACACAGTTGATTATTCCCTCCTCCCTGTGGCTTCCAGGCACCACACTTCCCTGGATTTCCTCCTACTGGTCATTCCTTCTCAGTATCATGCCTTTCCTGCATTCTTCTCTTCTTGATCTCTTCAGATTGGAATTAAACCTTTGGATCTCTTCTCTTGCTTTAATTACAGTTGCCTACTGGATATGGCTACCTCTGTGATCCTGGTTACTTCTCTGACCTAATTTTCTAAAACTCCCTCCTCTTCAGCTATATTGATCTCCTTCACAGAATGCCTATCTCCATAGTAGGCTCCCTAACTTCCTTTATGTATTTGGTCAAATGTCATCTTTTCAGGGACGTTTTCCCTGACCCCCATATCTAAAATGAAGTACCCCTCTTTCTCATAACTCTCTGTCTACTTAACAATATTCAACATTCTATATATTTTATCTGTCTTATCATTCCTAGAATATGCTCTCAAGGACAGGAATTTGTTTTATTTCTGTGTCCTCATAGCCTAGAAACAATGTCTAGCATATAGTTTGTACTTAAATATTTGCTCAATGAATGGCTTTATTGTGTAGCTATGTAATCTCAAAACATTATTATCACAGCTCATATATGCTCGTATTGTTCCATTACAGCAAGAAACCCAGTATAGCATGATAATTTTTTGAGTGCCTGCCATGTGTAAGACTATGTGCTTTCCCCAAGGAAATAGCTGGAGAAACAACTTTTTGTAACACAATAAGAGATACCAAATAGTATGTAACTGAGTTCAGAAAGTGATACAGACATAACTCTGAATTCTCGCAGAGTGAGAAATAACTGTGGATTAGCGTAATTAGTAAAGGCAACTCCATTGATGGGAAATGAGGTAAAACCTAAAGGGTTTATAGAAGTTGAATATGTGGAGAAAAGATGAGATTTGGAGTCAGGAGGATAAGCTTAGAGTGAGAACAGTCTGCATGGGCAGAAGAGTTTGTAATTGAGACTAATAGGGGGATAAAAGAGCAAAGGAAGTTGGGTCAGATTGCTAAGGACCTTAAATATTTTACTAAGCAGTGAAAGCCATCAGTCATTGGACCAAGGGAGTCCTGTAATAGAAATGAAAACATGAAGAAACATTGGCAAGTTTGTGTGTCCTGCATTTTGTCCTGAAATCACTGGATCTTTTAGCACTCCACTGGAAGACTTTATATACATTTCACTGTGTACTTTCAAGATTGTGTATAATTATGTGATTTCTTGAAGACTATTCTATTAATACATCTTCTGTTGAGACTAACATCAGACAAGTACAGTAGATTAGTATTGCGCTGTAAATCTTTATGGGAATCACTTGACTGGGGGTAGAACACGTAGGAATAGGGTCTCTGTAGTTTGGGGCAGGTCCCATTACATAAATTAGCACCAATTACGTTTCATCCCCTACCCTTTCTTCATTTGTAAGGATAAGGTTCAATTCTTCAGGGTAGGACTTTGTTAGAAGAAGGCTGCAACCCTAAAACCTATGCCAGGCTTTCATGTTTAACTGATACTGGATAATAAAATAATCCAGGTTCTCAAAGAGCTTTCTGAATTATCATATACAAATTCATATTTTTCTAGTAGTGTTCACTGAGGTATATTTAATGAAATTCTGATTCAAAGGAAATGTATAATCTATATATCTCTCAAGTAATCAGAGTATTAAATTAACAAGATTCCCCAAATCCAGTCCACTCTGGAGCAGGTTAAATGTTCATAAAAGAGCATATGGTTTTATTAAATATGATACTACAGAATGCATAGGCACCCTTTCAGATAACACCATCGTGCTTTCCTAGGGGCACTCTTGTAGGCATGACAGGGAGTAGCAGTGGGAGTGGGGAGCAGGTGAGAAGGCCTGAGTTCTGTTGCTGCCTCAGAATTGTCAAGGGACTTCCCTTTCAGTTTTTTTTTTTAATTAAAATGTATTGGGGTGACAATGATTAGTAAAATTACATAGGTTTCAAGTGTACAATTCTGTAATACATCATCTATGTATCACATTGTGTGTTCACCACCCAAAGTCAGTTCTACTTCCATCACCATATATTTGACCCTGTTCAGTTTTTAACTTCAGTTTTTCCATCAGTAAACTAGGGTGAAATTAGGCCTGGTATTTGTCATTTTTTTCACTTTAAGATTACAGTTTGAACACTTTATGGCCTTCCCCCCTTATTATTCTTATTGTGATTAGAGGGTTGTTTTACACTACAGGAGTTTTTCTAAAACTTTGTGATAAAGGACCACTTTTTTTGTTTTGCATTTTACTTTCAATCTGTTGTAAACTGACACTTTTGTAAAACACAATAAAAATTTTTAGATAAATGAAGCGAAAGATGAAAAATGTAAGCATACTTTATGATTGTTCAACAGATATAAAATGCTTAGTCAAATTGGTATAAGGTTCTCATCAGTTTCTTAGTTTTGTTACTTGCCACAGGCTGATAACATGGTTCTGGACTGGCATTGGTCCATGGACCACACTGTGAGTTGCAGGACACTGTATGACAATTTTTAGGATTTCAGCAGCAAAATTATGGGCATCTGTGGGTCTGTGATACTGAGCATAGGAAACTGAAGTCAGGATGGGAGTCAAAAATAAGTTAAATTTAAATAGGAAACAAATACTTTGTAAGAGGCCAATACTAAAATTAATTTCTGCACATTTGAAAATGCATCATTTCTGGTTTTGTTTTATTTTGTCTTTATGGAATTTTTTTTTCACTAAAGATCAGTTTTTCCCAAAGCAAGTTCCATGGATTCACTGCATCAAAACCATCTGGAATGCTTGTTTAAAAAAGCATTCCTTGGACTTATAAAATCAGAATCCTTGGAAATGGAGCCCAGGAATTGCATTTTTAAAATAAGTCGTCTTCTCCCACGTAATTCTTATGTATAAATAATTATTTCTGTGAGAATTTTAGTGGTGTGTGTGGGGGGAGGAGGGCTCTTTTAAACAAATAATAAAACAATTAACTATACTGTAATTTTTTCCTAGTTATATCAGAGGAAGAAAATGAACTAGGGCTCTTTTTAAAGTTTCAAGCAGAACGAGATACATCGCAAGCTGGCAAAATGATGGATGCCACTGGCAAGGCACTCTGTTCCTCAGCTAAGCAAAGGTTCACATGGTTTTGCATCATCCTTAAATCTGTAGTCAATATGACAGTTTTGATGTATGTATCTGAATTTGCATATGTGAAAAGATCATTCCAGTAGAGGGTTAAGAGAGAAATATATTGCAGTATATAATTATTTTGATGCCTCTTTTATTTTGTATTTTAAATAATTATTTAAAAATTGACATTCTCAGTTGCTTAATTCCTAGAAATAGCCTTTAGGCCTGTATTAAATTTTTTAAGAGGTTTAATGTAACAGAGGCATAGAATAACTAAAATTTAAATATGTATAGGTATATATTTTTTCACTGTTTTGGTACTATACTATATATGAATACATTGGAACTTATTAAGCAGAGGAAATTTTTTTCTTCTTAATTATATATTTTGCATTTATCATTTTACAGGTTTTTTTAGCTTAAAGATACCTGTTGCAAAGAATCTCCTACAATTGCTAAATACAACCAAAATCTTTGTTTTCAGAAGAAAATAAAAACAGCCTTATCAGAACTGTAATGACGATATATAACTTAAGTGGCTTTATTCTGAAACCCCACATCAGTGCAAAAGTCCCATCTTAAAGGAATTGGCAGAGACACTCAATACAAGACCCTCCAGTGTCATTAAGTCAAAAGCAGAACAGCAGAGCTGAATTAGACTTGTGTTTCTTAAATCCTTGTTCTTTTTTGTCCTATCCTAAGCTGCTAAGAACTTGATCCTCATTAGTTCTTCTAATTTCTATCTGCTTCTCTATACCAAGGTTTTTCCTAAATTTGTCTCTCTATTTATAAGATAATACTTTATGAATATAGGATCTCTTTTACCCATGGAACTCTTTTCTAAATGGCAGATTTACTTGACAGGTTATTTATACATGGATTAACATCTAAAATGTTGCAAAAATGGTATATTTCCTAAAATAAGAGAAAGACATTGACACATCTTTATTAACAATTCCAAGTTAGCTTGTATGATCCTTACTTGCTTTCTAAAGCTCTTTACGTATCTTCATAATTTCCTATTTATAGATTCATCTTGATAGCAAATATGCTCTATGGTTGTTTTTAATCTTTGTTTTGCTTATGGATGTACATCTCTCTGATTTTTACCTCTCTGCTATTAGATTGGCCCTGTATACAACCCTGTCTCGTCTTAAGCAAGAAGTAGCAACATTCAGTCAAAGGGCAGTATCTGATACACTGATGACAATTAATCGGATGGAGCAAGCACGCACAGAATACAGAGGAGCTCTGCTGTGGATGAAAGATGTATCCCAAGAACTGGACCCAGACACCTTAAAACAGATGGAAAAGTTCAGAAAAGTATGAAAAATTTCCTTTTCTTGATACATAAACTTACTGAACTTCTACAGACTAACCTAAAGATCAGACTAGTTTTGAACAAGTGTTATATAAATTCGTGGTTGCTTGGAGATCCTTGGTTAAAGTACAGAAAGTTGTCACACTTTTTCTTTCACTCTTTGAGTGGCATCCCCACCTCATCAAACTTTTCCATTAATTTTTTTTATCCCCCTCATAATAGATCTAACTATCCTTTAAATGTTGTGTACCTGGACTTTTGGGACTTGTTTGCAGGAGGGAAATAGTTTATTAGTGAGAAAAAAATGTATAAGTAAAAATTCATGTAAAGAGATTATTAATTGTAAGTAAAATAAAGGTTATCAAATTTTTCATTCTGCTATAATACACAGTTTTACCACAAACTTTTAAAGCAACTATCTATGGACATATGTTTTTGCTAAATAAACTCCTTAATTATAAATTGTATCCCTTACTTTACCATACATGAATAATAAGGTTCATTTATTCCTTCATTTCATAAATATTTAGAGTGCCTATAATAAAAATCATATTTAATATTAATGGAGCCTTTATTCTATGCCAGCTGTTATAAGTGGTTGCCTCATTGATTACTCCCAACAGATCTGAGAAGTAAGTTGACACATGGCTTCAGGCCGGAGCAACCTGTTATTCTACCCCCTTTATAGTCCTTGACAGTTAAGAGTACAGTCCAAGGGAGTGGTTGTACAACACTGTGAATGCATTGTTACTTAATTTTACATTTAAAAATGATTAAGTATATGTTATGTGAATTTCACCTCAATTAAAAAAAAAATTAGATTCAAACCTCTTCCTTGGTTCCTCTGCAGCCACATCTTGCACTTATTTTCTATGTTCCAGCCCTTTCTGTGCTCCAGGAAGGAATATGTACTACTCTATTCCTTCCTGTTCTGCAAACATGATAAACTCTTTACCCACATCCCACACCCAGGACTTTTGTCTTTGTTTTTTCCTGGGCCTGGAATGTTCTCCTCAGGGTCTTAGCATGGCCTGCTCATCACCTTTCCATTCCAGTTCAGACATGATGCATGAGTTCTCTAAGGGCTTCCCTGATCATCTTATCAAAAGTAGTCACCCAGGGCCGGCCGAGTGGCTCAGTTGGTTAAGAGCTTGCTCAAGAGTGTGAGCTCTGAGCAACAGGATTGCCGGTTTGATTCACGGCCCGAGCTGAGCTGCCGCTGAGCTACCAACAGATGGCAGAATGGCTCATCTAATAAATAAATAAATAAATAAATAAATAAATAAATAAATAAATAAATAAATAAAGTAGTCACCCATTTCTTCTCCCCAATGTTATCTTTACAGTTTGAGATTATCATATATATATATATATATATATATATTTTTTTTTTTTTTCCGGTTTCTCCCACTCAGGGATGGTGAGGAAGAACACTGTTTTGTTCACAATATCCCAATGCCTAGCACAGTGCCTGGCACATAATAGATACCTATGTGTTAAATGAATGAATATATTTAACAGTTGAGTATTCACACAACATATAATTCACCTTATATATAAGAAATAGAATAGGCCTGTATTTAAATTGATAAATATATCTCCATGATTCAGAACTATTATGAATGCTTCAAAACACCTTAACTAGTTCCCCTTTCCATTTATTCTTCTACCCTTGCCTAAATATTATCCATCAATAGTTTTAGATGTTTCTTTTTATTTGGAATCTGTTTTTTTTCTTAACTATATACTTTCCATCTGTAATTGCATACTTCTCAGCATAAAGATACCTACGGAAAGAATCTCCTATAATTACTAAAAATAGCCAAAATCGTTACCATTAATTATGAAATAATAATACAGAGAAAGGGAATTAGTCTTATTGCAGTTTCATGTGTCTAAAAATATGTATCATGAACCTGTATGGCATATTTATAATCTATATTATCAGTAATAATAATGAACATTTTTGTGGTTGCAGGTACAGATCCAAGTGAGAAATAGCAAAGCTTCTTTTGACAAGTTAAAGATGGATGTTTGTCAGAAAGTGGATTTACTTGGAGCTAGTCGCTGCAATATGTTATCTCATTCACTCACCACCTACCAGGTACCCACCTCCATGGTCAGCATGTCCTTGCAGTAAAGATGAGTGGTGAGATTCCTTTTTAAAAGTTGTCTAAGAGGTGTGAAAAGATGTATAATCAGAAACCTTTGATTTGCTAAAATTGACTTACTGAGTTTATGACAGTCAGAGAATCACAGAATTCTAGACTGAAAAAGACCTCAGGGATCGTCTACTCCAGTGGCTTCACATTATTCTCCTTGGTGTCCTAGGACAAAGAGACTTAGGGACCATCTGGGGTTAAGGATAGGAATATTGAGGAGCCCATTAGCCCTATTCACCCAGAGTTACTCCACTTGGAACTTCTGCATATAATTTCATTTGAAGCAAAGATGCTGCGGTCCAAAAACTTTAAAACATTTTTTGTCATTTAATGGATAAGGAAAGTGAAACCTATGATAATTAAAGTAAATGGCAATGTTGGGCTTAAAACCCTAAATTTTAGGGGCAACCTGTTAGCTCAGGTGGTTAGAGCGCAGGCTCATGACACCAAAGTTGCCAGTTTGATTTCCATATGGGCCAAGGAGCTGCGCCCTCCACAACTAGATTGAAGACAACTACTTGACCTGGAGCTGATGGGTCCTGGAAAAACACACTGTCCCCACTAAAATTTCTTTAAGAAAATAAAATTAAAAACCTAAATTTTCTAATTCTAGGTTGTATGTTCTTTTTATTCTGCCAAGTTACCAACCCACATTACTTTAACCTCAAAAGTTTATGCTTATATTACCCCAAATCACACATAAATACATACAATGAATAAGTTAGATATTAATAAATAGCAGTTACTGATTTTAATATGTGTTTATAAATGACAAAATAGAATAAACTGCATTTACATAAGAAGAGAATAATACACTAAAGGAAATGGATATTCACTGCTGCATCTAGGAAATCTACCTAATTCAGTTCAGTACTGTGGAATTCAATAATCAAGAAAGGATGCACTTGAAAATAAAAGTATATGACAACCTGTGCAGCCTAATGCCTGAAATACAATGTTAGTTCAGTTCTCCTTTATTCTCACCACTCATCCACCTCAGTTTCAACAAGAACCTTAAAGCATTAAGGAAAATGTTACATTACTTGAGTTAGCTTGAGAACACATTTTTTTCTTTTTTTTTTTTAAGATTTTTTTCTTGGGGAATTGGGGGGATGGGAACAGTGCTGGGGAATTGGAGGAAGGGGAACAGACCTGTTGCTGTCATTTTTGTTCTTCAGTCTAGTTGTGGAGGACGTTGCTTCACTGGCCCAAGTTGGCACCATCATTGCGCTCTTCCCGGGCGAGGCACATCAGTTGCCGGCTTCTGGACGGCCGCTCACTGCGGCTGCTGGCCGCTCACGCTGGCTGCTGGCTACACACGGTAGCCCATGGCAACCCACTGCCACAGGGGCTGCAGCCCACACCGTCGCCAGCGACTCAGGGCAGCCCAGCTCCAGGTTGAGCTGTTGTTCAGCATCTTAGCTGTGGAGGGCAGTGTTACTGGCCCTCATATGTGGAATCCGAACCGGGACCCTCTGGCGTCCCAAGCCAGCTCTTAACCATCGTGCCACTCGGCCGGCCCGAGAACACATTTTTTGGGCAAGTCTTTCTTGCCCAAATGAATGACCGAATTTAGTGGTACAAATTATTTTCTCCAATTAATAAAAGTTTATATATGCTTACCAAAATAAAGATTTACACATATATCCCTAATACAGATATCGTATTTTTTTTCTTTCAAGGCTACTCTTTTGTATTCCTCAGGTGTTTTTAATCCACCAGTTTCATTTTCTTCGCTGCAACTACTTTTCAGCTGGCTCCAGTGTACATTCCAGTGTTTATATAGATAACACATACATGCAGATACAGGTGCCAGTTCTTATGCAGAATTACTGTTTACAGTGCTTTTTGGTTCCCCAAATTTGAAAAACTGAGTTTAGTGCCTGCTGTCTGTTATCTGGCAACTATTCATCTACTACCACAGTGAGGAAAAAATAGCACTGAAAAAAATCAGAACGAGGAAGCAGAACTGTAACGTCACGGTTTCTTTTTCTGCAGAGAACACTACTTGGATTCTGGGAGAAAACAGCTCGAATGATGTCCCAAATCTGTGGGGCCTGTATTGGCTTTCATCCATATGATTTTGTAGCTCCTAAGGTACATTTCTTTCCATGTTCTTTTGCTAGATATTGGGTTGTTGGAAAAGTCATGACATTTTTTTCTGTTTTTCGTTACAAAAATGCATCATGACTTTTCCGACAACCCAATAATTACACTTCATTTGGATAATAACATTGAAATTATTTTTTGCTAAGTCTAATTTCAAATTTACAAAACACTGGGAAACATTTTTCTATACTTCTTCAGCCAAGAATCTGCACTCCTAGAGCCAGTCATTTTTCTGCACTTCTGTGATTCCAAATCCTACCAACAACACTAAAATTTAATACCCATGGGAATACTGCTGGTGGGCTCAGGTATTAGTTGAGGGAGTAGTAAAAGAGGGAAAAAGTGAAAAAATTAAAATTGCAGGAGATAAAAAAAAGCTTATAGAAAGGAAAAGACTTAAGTTGGAACAGTGGTCATGTATTTCCAAAAATAGCCAGATTACCTAACTGACAATTTTAGAAGTTAACACATTGTGGACCGGTAATGCAGATTTGCGTCTATACATTTAAATGCCCTGTCCTCAATGTGTTAAAGACAATTTTCTTTGTTTTACTTTTATACTCATATCATAGATGTGATTCATGATACAAAAATTATGCCAGTTTTGGTTCTTATATGTGATTGCGGCTGAAGTGACTACTGCATTAGATCTGCTCTTTCTGTAACACCTACATATAAGAGGTACTCTCCTGCTACAATAGTGGTTTTAACATTTGTATAGCTTCCTGTCAACTTTCTTTGCATATGGCTTCTCCAGCAGAGTCGCACTGTAGTAATCAGTTCTTCAGTTCTGGTAGGCTAGGTTTCAGTACCTTCGAACTTATCATTCTTTGCTATTTTCAGTACAGCTTGAAAATGTTGTTGGGTTTTTTTCAAGCTAGATGTGGTATCTGTGATGGATTTATATCTTGCAACTGTATATTCCTGGGGGTTGGTATGACCTTTTAAGTCATGTTCTGACATAGTATATTGCAATCTAATAGATACCCTGGAATTAGTGTTTTTGTTTTTTGTTGCATGTGTGGCATGTGTGTTTTGTTTTTTATTTTTTGTATATTAATGCTTCACTGGATAGCATACTATGTATTTAGCCAAATTTAAGACCCAATTTCTGCTCAGAATTGAAGTTGAAAATCTTGAGGTATATTTAGAGCATTGCAGTACAGGCTACCAATATGGGGGAAGTCTTCTTCGGCATATCACAAAGTTGTATGAACCCTGTGGTTAGCCCATGTAACCATGCGTGGCTGCCACAGGCAGCCAGGAAAAACAAGGACTTGGGGCTCAGTTAAAATTATTGGGTTGTCGGAAAAGTCATGACGCATATTTGCAATGAAAACCAGGAAAAATACGTCATGACTTTTCCGACAACCCAATATATTAGCATACATTTCCCATATCTCTCACTCTCTACTTCAGAACTATTCCTATTTTATATTGTTCTTGGAATTTTTATTTTCATTTTGTTTGCACAATGAGAAAAACAGAGTCTTTTCATCTACTTAACATTGAATTTCTTATTCTTAGCAACTACAAGACACTTCAAGCAAGCTTGCTGAAGACCACAAAGAAAAACAAGTAGAAAACAATTCTCTCACTGAAGACCTCAATAAGTAAGCAGGCAAAAGTTATACATCATGTTATAGAAGTCCTGGATACCATTGTATGGTGTATTTAGAAAGAATTGTTTCTTCCCTGGCTTGTGAATACTTATTTATTTATTTATTTTTAAAAGATTTTTATTGGGGAATTGGG